AATCAGTTAAAGTGTGTAACTGCAAATCACCATGCAGTGTTAATTTCTATGTCCACACTTTATATTATATGTTTTATACAATATGCATACATTTTTCCTATTTTAAAATATTTTTATTAAATTGACAGATTATTTTTCTTACAATATGATAAAAATTGAAGAAGAATCTGGATTCATGTTTCTTTGTTAAGTATTTTAAGTTTTTCATTGACTTTAGTCATTGCCAAACATTAAAGTTCTGTGATGACTTTGTACCTGTTTTAAATATAATGCTGGAAAAAATGGTCAGCTCATTGTGATGTTCCAAAAAGTGCTTGAATTCTTCTGCTATATCTGGACTGTAGCTGTCTAATCCCATTTCACTTTCCAGCCTTGATAGAGTTCAAAATTGTTTCCACTGTCTTGTGTGGGATGACATATTTTCCACCCTGCAACCTCCCCTCCCCCATAGATTCGACATTGCAGCCTATCGCTATTTCCATGGTAAATGTTTGGACAATCTCCATTCTTTAGTTCCAACAGTTTAAAATTTTATATCTAAGACCTGTCTTGCTACATACTGTAGAGTGAGTGGCCATTGTTAAATATAAATAAATAGCAGAAGTTCATAATCAGCAATAAGAAAAAGAAAAGAACAGGACAAAAACAATACAAAGTAAGCAAACAATATATACAAGGCAAAATCAACAATAATAAGGCAAAACAGTGCTATGTCAAAAAGCTCACAAACTAAGAATTGGGGTTGACACACATGAGCAAATTCATATGAGCAAATGCAGCATTCTGACTTCAAGACAGACTGGGACTGAGTCAAATGACACCAAGAACAGGACTATTTTATTGGCTAGGGGGAAATCCCAGCATGCATTTGTGTGTTTTTGCCTATAAATTGAGGCGGGGAAAGTATTTTGCAGTCATTGCTATTGTAGATTGGAACTAACACATACACCGAGTTGAACCACTGTCATTTATTTCATGCATATGAAATGAATGAGAGTAAGACATAAATTCCACTAAGACAGTTTTTCCTCAAGAATTGCTGCCTTGTATAGCTATACATAGTAAATAATTATTTTTTTATAAAGTCTTTTTTAGATGTACCAGCCATTCTAATGGCAGAGGTTTGCAAGGAATTATAAAAATATGCCAAATAAATGTTTCTTTTCTTATGTTGAAATGTCTTGGGTTCTTTCTTTTGGTCCATTATGTGACAAAACCACAAAATAATTAAAGAGGAACGTCCACAAGATGACATGGAATGACTGGGCAGGGATTCAGACAGGCTTGCGATTTTCTTTCTCATCCATCATCCATGATAAATTTGGTTGTGACCAGGGATGCTGCATGCAATTATCCTCATCTTTCTTGATAGCATTACTGTATTGCCGCTTTTCTATCATTGGGTTTTTCATGTTGCCAGTCAATCATTTATGGCTGAATCAAACCACTTGTCTATTTTTAACAAGTTTATATATATATATATATATATATATATATATATTTTATCTGTTTATCTCTCTTTATGTGTGTGTGTGTGTGTGTGTCTATTCAATTGTTTGGATATGAGTTTGTGACCCTGGGTTTCACACTTTTGCGATCATCAGACAAACTGCAGTTCATCTGATGATTGAAGAAGCATGAAACCCAGGGTCACAAACTCATATCCATACAACTGAATATGTTACCTCTATCACTGATATTGAGCACTTTCCACTAAGTAATGCACATATAAAATAAAAATAAGTAAAATTATATCTATAAAAAGACAATATGAATAAAGACAAAAGGAGAACTTTTCTTTACCAGTGCATTTCATTATCTGATGGACTTTATTGAGGCAAATGTAACATTTTTATTCATATATATATATATATATATATATATTTGTCTGAAGAATCAACATTCTTAATAAATAAATGAAGTGTCTACTCAAATACAAGTATCCACTAAACCTAGCATTTAAAGTGATAAAATCTGTCGGATCAATAAATACAAATTTAAATTACTTCTTTAGAAAATTGCTTTCTTTATGTTTGAATATGAAATTGAGCAGATATGAAAAAAGTTCAAGAAGTCTACAACAAGAGGAATTTTGCTTAAAGGCATGATTCAACCTTGCCTGATCATCTAAGTTCTCTATAGCGCAGTTGCCTTGAGCATGTCAAATGGTTCTCTCTACCCAGGGTGACACAGGTTCAAATCCTACTGGAGAGTGCATATTCTTCTTTAATAAGATGTCTCAATTATTCAGGCAGTACACAAAAATAAATAAATATACAGTTTAATAAATGAATGAAGCATCTACTCTAATACAAGTATCAAATAAAAATAATGTTTAAAGTTATAAAAACTCTATGATTATTAACTAAAAATCCATTAATTCTTTAGAATATGTGTGTGTGTATGTATGTCCAATATTAAATCTTAGACTGACAAAATTGGAAAACATTTATTTCTGCAACACATGTCATCTCCTTCATGAACTTCCTCAATGATAATAATGGAGTGATTTATTAAGATAAACCTGTATTTACATATACAGAAAAGGCATCATTGAGAAAATGATGTTATATTTTCAAATTTCAATCTCAAAACATTCTAAAATGCTCAAGAAAGTACCAACATAAAGGAAATTATGAGGGCACTAAGTGATGTAATTTTAATTATGTTGATAATCAAAAGTGATTTTTTGCAATTATTATTTTTCTCAATATCTAGTAAATTAATCATTTTCATTCAGTTCTTTGATGTTTCTATGGTTGTCCACAAATGTAACAACTTACAAAAGAAATCTCTTAAGAATGGAGATATTTAACAATACAAACACATGCATATGGTAGTGGGGAGTAATGACAATGACAATAGAAAAATCTTTGAAGTAAAATATTTTGATTCAAGAAGGAACTTCTTTGGACTAATTGATGGTGTTATTGATGGAGTCAAAATTAAGTAATATATTAAGACAAAAATGTATTGAAAGTGTACTAGTTTCAGAATCTTGGTGGTAGATTTACATCCAGAATCATGCAATATGTCTCTAATTAATGCTTGTAAAATGTGGGATATTTAAAAACAAAAGTGATAGAAAGCTGCATGAAATTAGCTAAGTTATACATTTAGATACACTGAACATCCTTATATCTTATTGTTTTCAATGTAAAATTGTAACTTCCTCCATTTTACACACACACAAATATAATCAAATGGATAAATGAGTAAATGTACAAGCAAGTGTTCAAATAAAATATAAATATATATATATATATATATATATATATATATATATATATATATATATAGTTAGTTAGTTAGTTTATGAAAAACTAGGTAATTCATATGGGTCAACCAAGGAGGATAAAATCCAGAGAGCTCAATGTAAATCCAGAGCAAATAATTTAAATAAAAACAGGCCACTTTAAGGTTCCATGTAATAAATTATTTCACCACAGCACTTTTAAAGGACTGCGGATCATCAGACTTTACTTCCAAATATATATATATATATAATAAAAAGGCTTAAATACTAATATTAGTGTTTAAGCCTTTTTGTTATATTCTTACTCTATCCTGGACATTGAGCTCTACCTGGATTCTATCCTCTTGGAAATTTTTATATGTATGTATGTGTATATATATTTATATAGTTTTTTATATATATATATATATATATATATATATATATATATATACTCAATCAATAAAACCATTATTAATCTGAAGTTCCTTCTAGGAAGGAAACACGTTACTTAGGAATCTTTTCTCTTTTATTATTCAGTTACTATCTATTCGTCTCATATTGATTTCCATATCACATTTATGTTTGTGCATGTATATAGTCATATGTACAAGGTTTTATCAAAAAGTATCAGAACTGTTGCTATGGTAACAGAGCTAAAGTATGCAAAGTGAAGCCACTTGGCACAGATTGACCTTCAACTCACTAGGTTATAACATTCTCACTCACTTCCGTTGTTTATAGCAGTGCTTGGAAGGAGAGTGTGTAGAGTGTAGTTGTCTCGTTACACCACAACAGTTCCATCAGTGACCATGGCTTGTGCATCAGTTTTTGGCAAAGAAAATCATTCCCAAGGTCTGACAACTACCATATTCCACGGATCTCACCCCCTTGCAACTTTTTCCTTTTCAAAAATCAAATCCTAAAATTTCAAGATCTTCATGAAATCCAAGAGAATGTAATGAGGCAGCTGATCACTGTACCAGTAAAAGAGTTCCAGGAATGCTTCCATCAATGGAAATGATGCTGGATAATGGGTGTGGCTTCAGAAGGGGTCTACTTTGAAGGATATTAAATATCAAATTGATATGTGTTGTAATTTTATTTTTATAGCACTTGTCCTGATACTTTTTGATTCTATAATATACTATATATATCTGCCAAAGACATATGCATTTATATAAATGGCGATATTATCAAGCTTACTTTGTTTGGCAAAGATTGAAATAACTTCTTCAACAAACATTAATCTCAATTGTATAATTTTACATTCTTCATTATTAGTCTTAGCCATAGTTGACATGGTTAGCACTTTGATGTGGTGTAATGGTTAGCAAGCTTGTTTTGCTAGATCAATTACATCTTAATAGGGCGCTCAAGCCTCACAGGGTGCTTCATACTTTTGGCCTTGTGCTATACTTAGAAAACCATCATGGTTGACAATTGGTGTAACAGATTTTTACTGTACTGGTTGTAGTAAGATAGTTATAGGATAGTGGTGTGTCCATTTCCTCACTCACCCACTATCTTTTCCATCAATAAAACATTTTTATGAGTATATCTGAACATGGTTTGGATTGTAGGAAAAAGTAGATTCATGCCTTTCTTAAGAGCATTAATGTTAAGTAAAGAAAAGCAGCCTCTAGCCATAATTTGAACTTGGTTTGCTTATTCCATTTTCCATCCTGAAAATTACAGAGAAAAGCTCCAAGATGAATATACAGAATGGTTTGACTTGACTCACTACATTATCGTGTACATGTGTATGCTTGACATATTCAAAGGCATCACTCTTCATGCTAATTTGTATAAAGATGTATTCAACAATGTTCTCAAGTATTCCTCGCAGGAATCTATCTCACCATTCATCCTCAAAATGAAATTTCCATTTTCTCTTCCCATTCAGTTACACAACAATTTTTTTTCTTGCTATTTTCTCTCACCTTCTGAATATAAGTTTGTTCAGTAGGTGCAACCACCTGTGGCTATGCTGCTTCTTACCCTCTATGACAGTAGCATTTTTGAAAAAGCCCATCAAATGGCACATAGGATCTCTCGGATGAGCTGGGATATCCAATAAATGTCAGCTGTCATCTGTATTCGTTATATTTTTAGATTTTTCTTTTATTATATTTGTAAATCCTGATCACCTGTCATCGACTAGGAATCATTTATATATTACTGACAATGGTTGTATGTCCAGCCATTTTATAGCCACAACATCAGCATGGATGTTTCCATCAGTGATATACTATACACAGCACTAGTTAATCCCTTGTTGTCAACAATCTTGTAATTTGAATGCTTTACAAATAGGTTGTATCTTTTTTGATACTAAAACCTGTTGAATTCTCAGCTTTAGTATGGTGAATATTTTACTTTTTTCAATTTTTTTTATGGTAAGGTTCACCGGGGAGCCACTCAAGCTAGAGGGTCACATTTGGAGATAATTTGATCAGATAGCAGGGGAAAATAATGGTTAACCCTAGCTTTGAATCAGTTAAGATTATAGTGATCAGGGAAGCATCCTCTTGGGAGTCAGTTCCACAGAGCAGTGGAATTTACTTCTCACCAATGGAATGTGGGGTGAGGGTTGCTACTATGTAAGTGGCATAGCATGTCCTTACCATGAAGGTTTGAACTGGTGGGACCAGGTAATGTAGTTCATCCAAACACTTTCCATGGAAGTAGTAATAAAGCAGCAAGAGGCTTGTCATGTCCTGCCTGTGAGAGTGAGGTTGGAGAGTGAAGAATAATTCATCTCCCACAAGGGCTCAGAGAAACTTTTGGGTTCTATCAAGGCTGGAGATATGACAATACTCCATTTTTGTCCTGATCAGACTATTGTAAAGGTAGAGGAAAGCAGGAAAGGTCAGGTACTTACTGGAATGTTACAGGGTGTAAACCATTTTACCTGCATCCTTAGCAATGGATCGTATGTATGAGATCCACTTGAGGTCAAGTGCAAGTTTGAGGCTGAATAATCTTTTAAGGCAAGATGCTTCCCTGAGGGAACATCTGTTCATCATGACTAGTGGTAGTTCAGGGTCCAATCAGTGATGATGGAATGTAACTAGTTTGGTTTTTGAGGAATTGGATGTAACCAGCCAGTTTTTACCCCACTGGGTAGTATGTACTAGATCAGAAGAGTGATCAGTTGCCAATCTCTGACCATCAAGGGTTTTAAAGGTTCACCTATATATATTCATTGGTATAGATGTTTACAAATGATCTGAGTATATTCTTTGACTGATCATTTATGTAAATCATAAAGAGGGTTGGTACGAGAAGTGAACTCTGGTGGAGGGATGCCTGCATTGACCCCGAGGGCTCCAGAGGACTGGCCATTAATGACTACCTTCAGAGACTACATCACTCATTCTCAGTATCAACTTCATAATAGATATTATGGTTGTCTGTGACTTTTTGCAAATCTTCTAATTGTACAGGATATTTAGAAATTATAATTCACATACTAGAATGTATTAGACATAGATAAACATTTATGCATATTATGATGTTTCATAGGAAAGTTGTTAGGAGAATAACATCAGCAAGAGTCAAAGTTTAATAATCCAACAATCCCAACAATATTCTTGTTTATTTATATGAAGATGTTTGATAATAAAAGTGTATTTTGTTTGGTGCTGGTGGATTTTTCATCTCTTGAAACTTGTTATTTGCATAAAAATAATAGAATATATAACCAATTAGGATGTAAAACACTCATGTTACTTGACTTGAACTATTTTATAGAAATAAAGATGTGCGATAGTAAAGGTGTTAGGAGGATGATGTCAGTAATGATATCCAACAATAGCATTTGTTTTTTCAATCTTGCTTCTATTTTCAAAGAAGAAAATACTTATTATAAATGCATGTATTCAAAATACCAGATATTTATAATATGCAGAATATCCAGATAATAGCACCCAAAGAGACTGACTTGAAACTGATTGCACCTTTGCACTTCCTTTTGCATTTTTTATCTTTTAACCCTTTTTCTTGAAAAAGACATTTATATACTAATAAATAATAAAACAAATTACTTTATTTTATTTTTGTTTTTAGGAAAATGTTTTAAACATTTCTAAATATAAACAAAGCCCTATCTTTTTAAAAATCATGTAAATGCTTTCAATCATATAAACCTTACAGCTCTTTTTACTTTACAAATGTCTAATTTTTTGGCGTCTGTAACCACACAAAACCAAACGGAAGCTCTATTATTATCACCAGTTATGCTAAAAATAAAGACCGCACTTTAGCAGCAACGGAATGCAGATTTTAAAAAATATATATTGGTCTATTATTATCTTCGGTTATTTCAAAAAATAAACCCTGTACTTTGGCAGCAACCAAATGCAGATAATGTGGCTTTAAAAATTGCAGTTTGAATTACCACAAAAATTGAGATAAAAATGTCTTGAATATTTCCAAATCTAAATAAAAATCTCTCTCTTTAGAAACTTGGAAATACTTTTATAAATGCTTTCAATTAGATAAACTTTACAGCTCTTTTCACTTCACAAATGACTGATTTCTTGACATCTTCACTTCTACAAAACAAAACAGAAATTCCATTATCTTCAGTTATTAAAAAAATCTATTGTCACTTTGGCAGCAAAAATAATATTGATAAAAATATTTTTGATTTTTCTTGTTACATTATTACTTTAATTACTAAGTTCTTATATCAGAGAACCAACTCATTTATGGTTAAGTACTACTTATGCAACAGCAATGACGTCTATTATATTTGTGGCTTGACTATTCTAGTGTTTCCATTGTTGTTATATTTTGAGAGTACATCTTAATTCCTTTGTAGATGAATATGTTCTATTAGGATGGTTTTGTAAATGTTTTATATGTTTAATCCTAAGGATTGATATTAATACTCTGAATTATTGAGCTTGTCATGCATTCACAATACTTGAGAGAATGCAAGCAGTTTTCCTGTTATCTGCAGCAAATGTAACTGAGTAAAATGAGAAACTGGTTTCTCCTGTGTTGTTATGACCTATAAAATATGAAATTGCTGAATAAAGTAATTTTTTGTGGACCGGTTGCTTCTGTTGATAATAACATTTGATCTCTTAAGTCAGTGCCTGTTTTTAAGGTGAACATAAAATGATATTTCAAACAAGATATTGGTTGTAAGATGGAAGATGTGATAGACTTTCAAAATATTACATTAATAGAGATTCTGATCCAATTAACAGAAATGGAAAGATGACATGTCTGGATTATGATTCTACCAAACACTTTAAACAAAAGAAGATATTAAAGTTGAAAAGTTCTTGTTGTTATACATGGAAAAATGCACAGTTTTTATTGGCACACTATGGAAGAACTTGATATCAAGTTCATCTATGCCAATTAATGAAAGCACAAGAAACTACAATTATCATTATGAAAATAAGAATATACAAGATATAATGTAGATAGACATACTAGACAACTAAACAGGAACAGGTAAGACATGATTATTAAACACATTTGTCAGTACATTAGCAGAAAAAGCAAAATTTGTAGATTAATCATTTTTAACTAATATATAATTCAAGTTTGTAGATTAGAGTAGAAGTTACTCATCATCACAATGAATCCTATGTACCATTTGGGTTTTAGGGGCATCACATGTACTGCAGTCACAGCTGAAGTGGTATTTCTTGGGCAAGATGGCTTGATGGAGCCCAACCCTCTTCAGGCCAGTTTGAATTCAGAGTTTTCCTTCTCCTACACCAGTTGCTACCCAAGGCTATAGAACTCAGTCTTTCCTGCTAATTACCCACAAATGGGGAGAAGTTACTGCAAATAGATAAATAAAAGTTTCAGTAGTTATTGAGAGAAAAATGGTGATTATTTATTAAATAGTAATATTCCACTTCTTTTATGCAAAGTCTCCCAAAAAGCAGACATTTTATTTTTTTTTAATCATTTCACCCACAGCAAGTTAATAATGCTACTGAGAGTAAAAGAGAATGAAAAAAAGTTTCTAAAGAACTGGAAACAAGGAATAAACTTCTACTCCTTTTCAAAAGATGGGGAGGCATGTGAGCTGGACGATAGGCAAACCTATCTACTCCTATTCTTTCAAATGATATAGCTCATGTTCTGAGTGATTTATTGAGTTTAGTTTGTACCTTATCAGGTCACTGCTGTATTTGTCACACAAACTTGTTATTTAATAACCAAGGGAAATTTAAGATTTTATCTGCTATAAAATCTTGAAGACAAGAAGAAAGAAAATGCAATTTACATGGACAATTTTCGCATGCCTCAAAAGAAAAGTTGGGCAAACTTGTTAAGGCGAGTAAAGGATTTTGAGATAATGAATTCCTGAAGATAATTGAAGACAGTCATGACTCTTGCAGTCTGTGCATGAAGTTTAAACGTCCACCTTTTACATCCATTTGCGGCCCTGCTCTTGGCTGATAAATTTAATCAGGTTGTGTGTATAGACTTAAAGGATTATGCACATAATGAATCCTGGATTTTGCTCATGATTGACTCAGCCACAAAATATTCTGCAGCTTGTTTGATTTATACTAAGCATCAACATATTGTCAATAGCATAGTTTGATGCAACTAGGAAGCTCTTCAGTGATAATAGAGAAGAATTGTCTAATAATAAATGCAGAGAAATTAATGAAAAACTAACTGCTAAAACAACTACAGCTGGTGAATCACCATTTGGTCATGGTATTGTGAAACATTATCAGATATGGGTGGTGGGGTGTTTTCTACAAAACTTTCTCAGATATGAAATGTGAACCCAAAGTAGCACCTACATAGGCAGTAAGTGCACAGAAATCATAACACAATAATAGTGTTTTTAGTCCACTGATTAGTATTTGGTTTTTATCCCTAGTCTATTTTCAGTTTTAAATGATCTTCTAGTTTTTCACTATTTACATTCTTCAGATCGTTATCTTCATTTATATTCTCATATT